TAAGTCACTGAGGGACTTCCATGCCGGGGGGCACTTTGGCTTACTCCAGATGCGCATGCTCCCTAAAGGGACAGGTCTGTAAGTTCCTGGAGGAAGCTGGACCCCAGTCCCATTCGTCACAACTTTTCAGATTCAGCTTCCCAGGCAGGAGGAAGATGAAGCTAAGTGTACGGTGGAGAAGGATCAGTAAGATGGGTCCCTGTCCAGAAAATTGCACCTGTTCATTATTTTAAAGTAATTCTGGGCACCCAGCTTTCCAGGCCACACATCTGCTCTGGAAGAGACCAGCCAGCACCCTGGTCCCGGGGCCTCAGGCCCTTCCTGCAAGCGTAGAGCTCTTTCTCATCCTCCAGCCCCATCTTCCTTTTTCTCCTGACATTTTTAGTTTCGACTTCTTTTGTGCCAGTCCTGGAGGCTGGAGGAAGAGGCTCAGGGCAGACAAAACTCAGAACCCAACTGGATTTAGCCTGTCTGGAGCGAGTGCGTCAGTCAGGATCTTGATGAGGCAATGAACTCGTTCTACTAATTGTAATTAGCGTGGGGTCTTTAGCAGGTTATTGGGCTCCTCAAACTTCAGAGGTCTTTGATCGTCCTCCCCCTAATAACTGTGCCTCGTGCTAACTGGTTTAGTGCGTTTTTATGCAACAAAAGCAACCGCCGCCTACACTTTAGGAAAAAAAAAAAAAAAAAAAAAATAAACAACAGGCTGGGCTTTAGAAAAAAGAATTCTCAGTTGTTTTCACTGTGCTCCAAATTGCAGAATGTTCTTCCCCTATTCAGCCCCTTGGAGTTGCTAAGAAACTGCCATTTTAGAGGAAGGGTAATTAAATTTTGATTTTAATTTAAAGACAGAGCAGGCCAGGCTCTCCCTGCTTCTTAAATGAATAGGCGGCTGAGAGCAGAGACCTGCTGTTTCCAGATCAATACTGAGCTCTCGGCGTGACTTGAGTCTCTGGCTGTTTTTGCTGCTCCAGAGAGCGGTGTTGAAATGGCTCTTGGTGGCCAGTGCAGGGTAACTTTTGGGGGAGAAAGAGGTTAGCAGACCAGAATGTGCTGGACAAATACCTGCTCTGGGTTTATTCATTTATAGATGTAATTTAAGGACCTGGTTTTCCTGATCCCTGGATGTTATGTTTACTGAGTCTGCAGATAGGAGGCCCTTCTAAAACCCTGTGGACATTTTTATAGCCTTTGCTATGTCAAGACAGAAGTTGTAGATACTTTGAGCTCACGTATTCTTACGTCAAGAGGAGGACTGGCAGGCTGTAAAGTTTGAACGGTCAGTTAATATAGATTTATTTTTTGTCACTCAGGTATTCTCCCCCATAATTACCTCTTAGAAGGATGCAGGCTCTTTCCCGCCTGCCTCCTAGCTGTTGAGTCAGGCTCTATTAAGAGAGACTCGTAGCATTGGATCCTCTGTTTTAGTAAAGTGGACTCATTTGCAGCACTTGACAGAAGGGAGCGGGGGAGAGAGAGCACGGGGGAGAGCATGCAGCTCTGAAGCTCTTCAGTCTGTGTTTACTACGGGTTTACTTGGTGGAGCCTCATTCCAGGGGTGCAGCCAACTGTCCCATCAGCGGTAGCCGCGCCCCTGGGAAGGTTTTCCACTCTGTGTTCATTTGGAATTCACACGGGAACCTCGGAGTCCCTGTATTAAAGAGGCTTGTTGTCTTTCGGGTCCGAGTATTGTTCATTTGCAACCTGCCACGCTCAGAATCTGTATCTTTTTTTTTTTTTAAGATTTATTTATTTATGCATACAAGAACTGGGGTACAGCCAGAGGTGTGGGGGGGGGGGTGAGAGGATTCACCAGAGACAGAGTGGGGAGCAGAACAGGCGGATCTACTGAAATGCACTGCTGAGGGGAGCAGCGGGCAAGACAGGAGAGGTCTGCTGCGCCATGTGGGTAGCTCCCTGGCCGGGGATAGAACTCGTGCTGCAGAGGCTGCAGACAGCTTCATAGGTTGCGTCTTAACCCCTTGCGCCACCAGGGAGACCCAGAATCTGTAGTCTTAAAAATGATAACAAGCACACTGTCTGGTTCTCCGTATCTCTCTCTCACTCTTGTAAGGAGAACAATCTGTGTTATGTAATGCCGGCCAGTTCAACATGCCATAAGAGAACCTTGCCTGAAACTGTAAATCCTTTCTGGTGGAGAAGATGTGAGGTTTGTTATCACAGAGAAGAGCAAGAGATGGGCCAGCTCTGGGCCTCACGCTCTCATCCACAGATAAGTCGTCCACTTGGTCTTTTTATATCAGCCCTCTGGGCCCTGTGGGGTTGTGGGCAGAGCACTGCAGCTGGTGGGGGGTCTCGGTTCCCTCCATCATGGCCCTGTTCCTGTGGCACTGGCCTCGGGCCGACTGGGCCTGGCCATGGAGGGTCCGCCCGGACCTTCGCCCGGCCTGCCCTCTGCACCCTGCTTCCACCCCAGTTTCTCAGAAGGCAGGCGGGTACCCCACCCCCTGACACCCCTTCCTTCTGACCACTGATCTGCGGGCCTGGCGGGTGGTCGAGAAGATGCTGGCGGCCGGGCCTGGCCCAGGCGGTTTCAGGCTTCGTTCTTTGACTTGTTTAAGGGCAGAGAATAAGGTTGCAAAGGAAATCAAAGCCTGATGTGGAGAAACGAAACATGAGGCCTACTGACTTTTTAAAAACATTTTAAATATCATTCTCTAAAGTTTCATTTTATACTGAAGGCAGCTGTAATAAGTTTTGGAAGACGGTGTAAGGTTTCGATTACAGAGCTATCCTGCTTGCAGTTTTTGTACCCAAAGTGAGAAAGGGCGGAGGCGGGGAGGGATGGGGTGGCTAAGAGGTTATTTGTATAAGGTGAGAAAATTTGAAAGGATGAATTCAGGACTGCGAGCGAGTAACGTTCGGTCTGTCGTAACGTGCAAATGCAATAACATTAAACCATGGCAAGGTGTGTGCACGCCTGTGAGGGAGAGAATAGCTGGGGAGCGATGGAACAACTTAATGACCAGCTCAGAAGCTCGTCGACCACAGCCTGCAGCCCTGCAGCGGGCCCTGCCAGCGCTCCCCCTGCGGAAGGCTGGCGCAGGCAGGGACGTGGAGGCTATGAAAGCCCTCGTTGTTCGCAGACTCCCTTCTTTGGTATCACATACACAATGTTTGCTTGTGAAACGATTTATTAGAAACAAGTATGTTTAAGAAAGAGGACTTGGGTTGAAATTCAGTTGATCTGGCTTATGACATTTAAGATTTTACAGTACCTTTTGTTTCTAAGAATAAATATTTAGGGTCGCTGCAAATATTTGTTTCAAACACACAAACACACATGCATGTGTGTGCAGAGCTGGAACGCCAGGCCAGGGAACGAACTGCCGCCTCACGCATCCACCCCTCTGCCTGTGCAGGGTGGATCAAGCCCGGTGGGCTTGAACCTGACCTCCTTCGCTGCCCACCTCACCAGAGGCTGGACGGTGAATCAGCCTGACATCTTGGATTTCTGCAGCTATTTGAGGGGAAAACCCCAACTTTGAGAAGTTCTGACCCCAAAACCATAAGTCATGACTTTAGGTTTTTTTTTTTGGATCAACCTATGTGGGTGACATTGGGCATCTTTGGGCCTCTGCAACCCTTATCTTTTTAATGTGAAAATGTAGGTGTTTGTGAAGGGATGGAAGTTTAAAGTTCTTGAAGACCAGCAACAGGCAGGTACAGTAAAACCGACCTGTGCCTGGTCTGGCCACCGCCCAGCACGTTCCACTAGCTGACCTTGTCACCTGAAAGGCCCTGTCCAGAAAGGCGAGGTAGCGGGCAGTCTCCAGTTGGCTGTTTCCAGCCCGTCGCGCACGGAACTCGGGGCCAGTGCACAGGTGCCCTTGGTGCCTGGGCTGGCTGGAGTTTCCTCATCCCCCTTGGCTGTGTTCTACGCTGGAGGTTAGAGACAGCAGTACCAAAGCTGGGGGTGGGTTTGGGGGGGCAGGCAGTCCTGTGCAGGTGTGCGGGATGGCGCAAACTAACAGGTGACTGGGAATGTGCAGCTCTTGACTGAGCCCCATTATCGGAAGGTTCCAGTCCGCTCGTGGTCAGCATGTCTTGGTGGACAGTCACGCTGCAGGCTGGTGGGTGGCTTGCTTCTCAAGGGTCCCCGTGTGTGGAAGCTCACATCCCTTGACCTGCTTGCCTTGATGGGATTTCTACGGAGACCACCCTGGAGAGGAGCCTTTCCAGAAGGCACACAAGAGGGGGCGTCCTTTGTTGAGAACTTGTCTGGAAGAGGCAGGAGGGCAGTGAGGATGGGAAGCCATGTTTAGCACCCCTCGGGGAGGGTCCTCTCAGATGGCCTGACACTGCCAGGATTCGGAAGCCGGCATCTTAGGGTTTCTTTTGGCGCCGTGCCTGGGCCTAGTGCATCCACCCCGGGCCAGCAGGGGCACCTCCTGTTTATCAGAGAGATGAGTGGACGCGTCAGGAATGAGTCAATGCAGTGAATTCCAGGGCGGAGAGATGAGTTCAGTTGTTCATTTGCTTGTCATGCCTTTGGGTTTTACTTTTAGTTTATTTTCATTTTAAAACAAGGGATGGAAATCTCCCTAGAGCATCTGAGAAGTGTAGCAGGGATGTAGTGGGTCGAGGCGCATTCTTTGTGTTAAGGCTTGTCTTGTCCCTACCCGTGGTCGAGGTGGGGGTTGATGCTCACCCCGCGGCACAGGTGGCGGCGCCCACTGCCCTGCCACTCGCTTTTTAGATTGTGAAAATCACATCTTCTCCCTTGTTCATGAGGTGGCCGCAGACATCTAATGATTTGAGATATAATGTTCTTTTCTCGGCTTACTAAATAAATGTTCTCTTCACAAGGGTCGCGCTCCTGCAGCCTGCTTTGAAGTCGTTTTTGTTACGCGCTGGCCCACGGTGTTATTTCAAAGGAGTCAGCCAGCAGACTCGAGGCCTTTTTGGCTTGAGTTCATGAGCCGCCTCCTGACAACACACCTCACGTATTCGTCTCTCCCTCCCTCTCCCTCCACCAGAGCGGTCACCTCACCGGCCCATCCTGCAGGCTGGTCTGCCCGCCAATGCCTCCACCGTGGTCGGCGGCGACGTGGAGTTTGTCTGCAAAGTTTACAGCGACGCCCAGCCCCACATCCAGTGGATCAAACACGTCGAAAAGAACGGCAGTAAATACGGACCCGACGGGCTGCCCTACCTCAAGGTCCTCAAGGTGAGACTTTCTGAGTCTGAAGGGGGCCCCGCTTGGGTTGTGCCACAGACCCCTTCACGTCCTGTTGAATCTGAGAGAAGGTGATTCTCTCTCTGGCCAGAGGAGAGTGTGAGGGACGAGGAGGCCTTCTGACTGCAGCGACCTTTCGGAAGGGGCAGGGGCGTAGTCCAGGGACCAGGGAAGCCGGCGGCGGCGTCTCCAGTGACTGACCGGCGCTTGGCCATGAGTTGGTCTTCCTTGCAGGGCCTGCAGAGCCCCCAGGACAGGCCAGAGGATGCTGCGGCTTCATACCCCTGGGCCCTCTGCCAGCGTTTATCGCGACACTGATGTTTTCTCTTAGTAGGGCGTTAGGGTCTGATTTTAGAAGCCACCTTGTCCAAACGATGTAGATTTTCCTTTTGAAAGAAAGCCTTTAACCTCTGAGATTCACTCACACGCAGTTCTGGACAATAAGGCTTTAGAAAACGTTGGCGCTAATGAAATGTTGAGCAAGGAAACGTTCTTTCTCCTTGTTTTTCTCATTTGAGTCCTTGCAAGTCCCCATTTAGCATCAGGCTCTTTATTTTTTACATCTGCCTTGCTCTTGAGGGCGGTGAGAGCCTCTTAGCCCCTGCCTCCCGCGTGGAGGGGCCCGTGAGGAGGCTGTTTTTCAGAGGAGCAACTTTCCAGTGGAACCGCAGGGAGCCAAGAAGGACCACGGAGCTGCAGAGATAACCAGCCACCCTTCTGCTGGTCTTCGTCCCTCTTCCCGCCGTCCACTGGGTCACTCCCTTATCCACCTGCTGACTTATTTTGTTCTTCCTAAATGCACAGCCCTCTCAAGCTGCTGTTAAGACATAATGGAGTTTTGTTTTTTTTTTGTTTTTTTGTATGGTGTTTTGGTGGCGGGACCCTCACAACATCATGTCCTTCTAGTTGGCCGTTACATTGTTCTCCTGTGTCTGTTCCAGCACTCGGGGATAAATAGCTCCAATGCCGAAGTGCTGGCTCTTTTCAATGTGACTGAGGCTGACGCTGGGGAGTATATATGTAAGGTCTCCAATTATATAGGGCAGGCCAACCAGTCGGCCTGGCTCACTGTCCTGCCAAAACAGCAAGGTAACAATGTTTTTGTTTTGTTCTTTTTTTTTTTTTTTTTTTTTTCCCCCAAAGAAGGCTGGATATTAGAAGCTGAAAAGACTTGGTGCTTTGGGAGACTGCAGGCAGCTTCTAGGTGACTGTGGCCTTGGTATATTCATCATGGTCTTTCTTTGGTGATGCAGCTGGCAGCGTGTCAGCGGCCATGGAAAAATGCCCACGTGTTCGAAGTGCTTGCTCTCATTTCCACTAAAGATGACCCTCTGCCCCCACCCAGTTTTTAAATTGCTCCTCCTGGTTGATCTCGTTTGGGCTACTCGGTTCCCCTCATGACTGCGCCTGAATGCCATTTAAACACACGCCCTGGATGCCTCCTTGTGGCATTGGCGATTCAGCAGGAATCAGACCTCCTGCAGATTTGGAGGGAAATAAATTAGCACAATGCAATGTGTCCCACAAAGCAGCTTTTCTTGGTCGTTTGGCACTTAGGAGATACTGACCTTGAATTACCCTCAGATCACCCTGAATTTGGGAGAGTGCATCTTCCTGTATGAATCCACCGCTGGATGCTTCCAAGCCATGGACTTTCCTAGTTTGTCCTGGCACAACTTCAAATGTTTCTATTAAAAAAAAAAAAGCCCAGGTTCTGCCCAGATCCTGCTTTGCCTCCATTTGCTTCCAGTGGAATGGCTGTCAAGAGGGCTGGCTAAGCAGGAATCAAAGCAACCAGAGCCTGGCCGAGGCCTCACAGCCCCGCTCCCTGGTCGGGTTCCCAGGCCAGGGGGGCCCGAGGTGTCCACACGGCCGAGGTGCAGTGTTTGCTTTTACCACCCAGCCGAGGAGACAGAACCCTCCTTTTCTCAAGGTGGGAGTCCAGCCAACAGGACCAGAACCCAACCCAATCACTTGGGGGCGTGCTCTTGAAAAACCACCCCAAACTCGAAAACAAAGCAAAGCCACGAGAACGGGTCTCTGTGGGCCGATTTTTCCATGTGTTTGATTGCATGCTTGTCTAGGTGGTGAAGCCGGTGTGGTGACGGGCCTGTGGAGGTGAGCTGCTGGTGTCGCTCCGTGTCGCTCGGGTGTGGGCTCTGTGGATGGGTGCAGGTGACGCTGCCGGCGGCCAGGAGCCCCCGCTGCCGTGCCCGGTGGTCCCGTGGCCCCTCCACGATCATTCCTGTGTCGTCTAGCCTTTTTTCTTGCTTCCCTTGTTTTCTAGGCTGCCGGTGTTAACACCACGGACAAAGAGATTGAGGTTCTCTATATTCGGAATGTAACTTTTGAGGATGCTGGGGAATATACGTGCTTGGCGGGTAATTCTATTGGGATCTCCTTTCACTCTGCATGGTTGACAGTTCTGCCAGGTATATACTGCTCTTTCTCTCTGTGGTTGTTTTTCCCTTTTCTTGGTTGATTGCTATAAAATTAACACAGCTTCTGTTCTCAGAAATGGCCCCCTTTTACCCCTGCATAAAGTTTAAAAAAAAGATCCTCAAAATTATCCCCTGGGAATGAGAAGTGGCTTTGGCAATTCACTTACAGCAAAATCCCATACTTACTTGGCTTTATGAAATGTCCCCCTTCAAACCCAAGGGGCTAGGATACTTTTTGAAAGCCATTGAGTCAACGTCCAAATTTGCCCATGCCATTTCTCTTAATTTAAAAATGCTTGTGAAATTCAAAGTGATGCCTTCCCATGTCAAATTCCATTTTGACATAACCCCACATACACGTTGATGACTTTTATTCCGCCCTGTGCTTTAGTGAGATGTAAATAGATGTTGAGGTACCCGGGGAGAAGCACCCCAAATGTAGGGCGTACAGAAGCAGTGTGTGACCTACCTTGGGAATCGGTGACTTGCTGCATGTTGCCGTAGAATGACTCTCTGCTTGATTTTACTGCAAAGCATGCTCCTGCCGTCTCGGGCTTGATGTGATTTCTGCTAACAGAAATCGACATCCTTGAAGCCTGTAGGCTCCACGTGGCTGCCGCCTGAACCTTTAACCGACATCTCTGTCCTCGCCTGACTTTCTCCATCATCTCTCTGCTGGTGCATCTACCTCATTGTCACTTCCTCTGTGAAACTGAATAGACTGTGGTTTGCCAGCTCATGATGTTGCACTCCAGTTATTAATTTCTTATTTTTAGAACAGTGCCTACCTGCATGCTTATTTTATATCTAGTAAATACAAATTGATTGTTTCATTTGTGCTGTGCTGCTGAGAGTTCTGACTCTCTTGCAAATATTTTTCTGATTAAAATGTGTAAGCTTTCAATAATACCATTGCATCCATTTTCCTTTGGTTGTAAATCTGCTCTGTGAATATTTGCTTTTGAAACAAGAAGATGCCTCTTACCTCGAGCTTGCTTTTACTTGCAGTTTTGTCTTTGCAAGTGCCCCATGGGCGCTTCTTAACCAGTTTGCCTGACAGTGCTAGCACATTAACTAAGAATACAGACTGAGAAAAGTAGTATGTGCAAGTCCACTGCTTGTAGAGTGACCACTGAGGACTCAGGAGGGAGCAGACTACTGGAAATTGATCTAAGAATATGCTTAATTACATGTAAACTCACATGTAGTACCATTTCTATTATAAAATTTGCAGTGACGTAGCAGTATAACCAGATGCCCCCAATTTTTACTGATTATTAAGAAATATTATGAACTTTATAGTATGGACATAATGATTCTATACTATAAGCAACTCAGTCTTTATATTAAATACATTTGTGTGTTTCATTGAATAATATGCTGGATTATATTAAGGCATTTGAAAAAAGCTTGGACCATCCCACTAGAGGACTAGGTATTTCACTTCCTATAGACTGTCTCATCTGGGGTAAATCACCCTGTGGCATCTTCCTTCAGAAGAGCCTACCCAAGTGAGACCTTTTAGAAACAAAACTGCTCCTAGTGAGAATTTCTCATTTGCTTTGCATTAGAGTCCCTCCCGGAAGATAGTCCTTTTTTGTGGGGACCCATTAATCTACTCTGTCCAGATGTCTGGCAGAATGTGGCCTTGAGACCTGCTCTCTCTACCTGGGTGGCAGCCCTCCTGCCACTGGATTGCAGTGGCCACCTGGGCCCTGCTGGGAAAGCTGGGAGCCCTGGGTGATTCACCTTCCTGTGGGTGAGGCTCCTGACACCATGGTCCACGCCATCCTGCAGCACTGAGTTATCTGGGAAGCCTGTCTTGCCTTGGGAATGGTCTAAAGTACTTTGGATTCCTTTAGTTGTGCCAGGATGCATCAGTTCTGTGTTCTAACTCTGTGGCGTGCTTATCTGTTCCTCCCTGTGGTCTGCAATCTAGCTCCCCCAAGAGAAAAGGAAATCACGGCCTCCCCAGACTACCTGGAGATAGCCATTTACTGCATAGGGGTCTTCTTAATCGCCTGCATGGTGGTGACTGTCATCCTGTGCCGCATGAAGGCCACGACCAAGAAGCCGGACTTCAGCAGCCAGCCGGCTGTGCACAAGCTGACCAAGCGCATCCCCCTGCGGAGACAGGTAACAGAAAGTAGATAAAGAGTTTGAAGAACTTTACTCCTCCCCAGCCCCAGCCAGCCTTGGGTCTCTTCCTCCGCTCCAACTCATCTGTCCTGTGCGCCGCCCTGTGTGAGTGGTTTGTGAGCAGAGGTGGCTCTCCCGTCCCTGTCTTGAGCTTGGGGGGTCCAGTCCCAGTGATTGCAGGGTCACCTGCAATCTCGCTTCAGGACATGCAGGCATATGAGGATCTGCAAACTGATCAGCAGGACCGACCAGACACGGGGAGGCAGTGTCTGGCGCATTTAGTGAGAACCAAGTGTGTGGTGGATTCAGAGCGCAGGCCACATTTATCCCTGTGATCTGATTTTTTTTCTGGAGACAGGCTTATGGTTCTAGCTCTTTGACTTATTTATTAAGTCGAGGTCAGAAACCTATGCCCTGCAGGTGACTCTGAATTACTACTTGACTCAAGCTGGCCCGTGATGTCATCCTAAACTGAACTTAGGCTCAGATTTCCTGATTTTTAAGTCGATTGTATAAATATGTTACGTCATTGTGAGTAGCTGACAGGGGTGGTTGAGGATTCACTGGGGGAATGATTTTTATATTGACTGGGTGATGATGGTTTTTAACTTGGTGCTTGGTCTTTGGTGGTCAATTTTTGCTTGAATGTACCTCCTGATAGGTTTAATTTTGCTTTGGGGAAATCAGGTGAGCTAGAGCTTACACCAAAGTCCTGCCTTTCACCAAAGCCCTGTAGAGCTGAGCGGGACAAGCAATGCCGTGGCCTCTGCCCCCTGCATGTAGGTGGTAGAGCAGGCAGGTGTGAGCACAGACTGTTCATCAAGTTTTTGGAACTCGGTTCTGATTGCAAGTCCCTGGTGATTCTGTAATGCACCTGTAGGATTCGGGGTAATCCCAGCCCTGTTTCTCAGGGACTTGAGCTGGTGCTGACATTCCTGGAGGAGGCATCAGGCAGGACCAGGAACCAGCTGTTCGGCAGCAGCTGCAGCAGGATCAGGCGCCCTTGGTCCAGCTGCAGACCCCAGGCTGAGTGGTCCTCGCTGACCCCTGTGAAGTCGCATCCTAGCTGGTCTTCCTGGAGGGGGTGCTGAGGATAGCATTTGGAGTGGGTGTCGAGGGCAGGGGAATGACTGAACTGTTAACAGTAAGGGGAAGAGGTTTCCATTTGTCAGTCCTGCCATCAAATTTGCTGTTGTTATTAAAACGACACCACTGTCATTCTCAGGACCCCAGCCCGCTTGGGCTTCAGGGACCTTCAGGGGCCTTGGCCACCCTCTCCCACCCTATCTGCCTCCACCAGCTCCCTCTGGGTCATTCTGCTGCCACCCCCTTAGAGCCTGGCCTTTGGGATTTGAAACAGGGAGTGGTGTTCCCAGCGCTATTATTTTTTGTCTAATAGGGAAAAATGCTACCTTCGGGAAGAATCCTGTCCTTTGGCATCTTTAGGCCATTGGGCCATAATTATTTCCTCCTCTTCTCTGCGACGGCTCCAGTGGCCTTCTTTCTAATACACACGCGGCAGATGCTCTGGAAACTGCCTTGACCAGCCCTCGCGTCTATTCCATCTGTCCACCTACTGGTCTTTCCTCGAGTCCTCCTCCTTGGCTGGTCGTGTGGCAGAAGAGAACATTCAGCCTCCTTTCTTCTCCCTCCTCCTCCATCCTCACTTTCTGAACGCTCGTCTCACCCAAGCTCCATGTCACACCTGGCCCGTCACCCTCCCGCTGGCTCCAGGATTGTTGGGGTTATGAGCGTGGCCTCCTGTTTCATGGGGTCAGCAGGGAGAGACATGGAGGCGGGTCCCCTGGAGAAGCCGTCTCTGGGAGAGGAGTTTATTTGGGGGCTGTCACTATCCCCGCAGCTCATCAATGTCAGGGAGGAATGTGCCTCTTCATGGAGACTCGCCGTAGCGGGGGCTCGGGTGGGGACGGAGATGCTTATCGGGGCGCGCATGAAAGAGGGTCATTGGACTGGAGCTGGAATGAAAAACCCTGCGAGGCCAGCAGAGATGTTGATGACAGAGGAAATGCCTCAGGGATGCCAGGCATGCCTTTACCTGGCGACAGGTGAGCTGGAACCAGATGTCTTGGGGATGGGTTGCTCCCAGGCATTTACGGGGCCACTTTTCCTGCTGTGCGGGCCCCACCCCCTTCCCAAGCGCTCCGGGTCTTGGGAATGGGTCGAATTTTACCTGCTGGGCCTGGACTCTTGCCCTCCCCTCCCCTCCCCCCCTTCACGCACCCCCAACGGCTTCCTGCTCAGCTGCATCCATCATGTTCTCTTTGCAGAACAAGGGTGTGTGTGTGTGTGTGTGTGTGTGTGTGTGTGTGTGTGTGTGTGTTCATTCTATCCCATTGTGAGTTTTTCCTTCTTGGCATCTGCTAGTCTGTACTGGACTTACTGGCATAAGACAGACATTTCAGTTTATGGTATTTTGTGTCAAAACTGTTTTGCTCTAGGACCAAAGAAGAAATGAAAGTTTTTGAGACTGTGCTTTTTTTTTTTTTAAAGATTTATTTATTTATACAAGAACTGGGGTATAGGCCAGATGCGCAGGAGGGTGAGAGGATTCACCAGAGACAGAGCAGGGAACAGAACAGGCAGACTGACGAAATACACTGCTGAGGGGAGCAGCAGGTGAGACAGGAGAGGTCTGCCGCGCCATGTGAAATTCTCGCCCACTGGTCGGGATCAAACCCGCGCTGCAGAGACTGTGAACAGCTTCACAGTGCAGCCCTCAACCACCTGCATCACCAGGGAGGCCCGAGACTGTGCTTTTGATGCTTGGAGAAAGCGATGGCTTTTCGGCGTGGGTAACCAGGTGGCCATGGAGTCCGTGTGTCCCACATGCTGGGCGGGGGTTGGGAAACTCCTGCCAGGTGCCTGCTCACCTGCTCTTCTGCTGGCACCCAGCTCTCTTGCAGGTCTGTGGGGCCACTGGGGGCAGCCAGTCATGGCCCTGGTGAGGTGACCTCTGCCCACCCATGGCTCCCAGAGGGCTTCACTTTCTGTGTTCTGCACATGGCAACTGGGTGGCGGGGAGAGCTCCCCTGGAAAGTGAGGATGTTGGTTTAGGGCAGGGGTATTGCTGGGTTTGCTGAGCCAGGTTTTCTCTATGGAGCCAGAAGCTTCCACAGGGCAGGGTGGAGACGTAAGTGTCTCCTTTGCAGGTAAGCGCGTCTCCCAGTAGGAGGGACACACACAGCGTGGAGCTCACACTGTCCCACACCAGGTGCCTCTTGGAAGGGGCTCGGGCATGTTTCTCAGGCTGCAGTTCCACCTTCTCTGTTGCTGGTACAGGTAGATTGGACACTAGGAGAAAACCAAGAGCAATTGAGGACATCTTGATAACAGTATCTTTGAAGCAAATGACATGTTCCGGGGATGTTGTGATGAGGATAAAGCAGGGTTCATGCCAGTTTGGGTGCTGTGGATAGTGGGCATTAAATACCAAATTCAGGAAGGTAGGTTCGCTTCTGGCAGCTCATGTACTCCCTTGCACCTCAACATATGATCTCAGAATAGTCTCTGGTTTCGGACTCACGAAGACTCGCTGGCCCCAGCAGGCACCTGGGTGAGCACAGGGGCCATGGGGAGCGTGGCTGGACTCTGCCTCGCCACGTGCACCTGCCTCCTCTGGCCCCCGCTTGGCTGGTGTAGGGGCAGGAATGGACACAGTGCAGGTTTTCTAGGATCCAGCAGACCAGGTAAAGGAGGAGTCAGAGTCCTCAGTGGTTTTGCAGGTTTTTATTGGGATTAGGAGTACTGTGGGGCTGAGGAGCTGGGAGGCTGGCAGGCCTCCCAGCCCCCAGCAGGTCTTCACTCTACGGGCTCTCTGGCCTTCTCTCTCGGCTTTTGCTTCGGCTTCTGCTGGCGCCCCCGTGACGCCGGCCTTAAAAGCCCAGTCTTAGCCCAGGTGAATCCCATCTACCTATGCCCACACCCTACTCCAGGTGCCCGCCATCAGGCATGCATTCAGGACCGCAAGATCCATCGTCTATCCTGATGGCGGGAGGGCAGAAAAGTCTGACATTTTCTTTACCCTACAGCTGGTCTCTCCTCTCAGCCTCCGAAGGACATGCCTGTTCGCCTGGCCTCTGACCCTGGTTGTGGCTGATGTAATCTGAGGACCAGCCCTGCTGGGTCCGTGGCCTGGGCTCTGACGGACTTGTTCATGGTGTCTGGGGAGGTTTGGGGTGGAGCCTCACCCAGTTACCTGAATGTTGTTGTGAAGGGAGAAATGGATCCATTTCCAGAAACGCCTGTGCCTGAAGATCAGCCACTCAGCCGGAGGCGCTTGTAAGGCCCCAGGAAGCAGAGCGCACGGCTTGCAGGAAAACTAGCAACTCTGGGCCTGGTGTTATGGTTCGGGGCTGGGGTTCACAGCCGGGGCCCAGAGGGCTCCTCTAACTGGCTGTTGGAGCAGTCTCGGGCGTAAACACACAAATAATCCTCACGCCTGCCCGCGGCCTCTCTGCTCCTGCCACTCCTTTCTCTGGGGGGGTCCCTCTAGCTGTTCCCTTTAATCTAGTCTAAAGAGATAACACTGCTTCTTGGTGGCCCTTGAAAAAGAAAAGAAAAAACCACTTCCTTGCTTAATCTCCCACATGGGCTGTGGAAACCCACAGAAAGCACATTCAGTTAAAAGATTGATTTATGGCACGTGGTGAAGAGATTCCAGAAAGTGAGGAAGCTGAAATGGTTGCCTGCCAGGAGTTGGGGGAAGACAGTGTCTCCAAGTGTTAGCGTTTATTGTTTATAAATAACCCAATGATCACTCTCCATGGAATCTTTTTAAATTACATGAAAAAGAGATTCTGGAAATGAAGAAAAAGAGCTGGAAAGGGGAGCTTAGGATTTTGTGCAGAAAACAAGGGCTTGAATTAGTAAAAGAATGCATGGGTGAGGGGCGGGGATTGCCTGAGGGGCACAATGAGGGGGGCTCTGGTGAAATCCCAGCTTCTATGGAGGGGTCGGGACAAAGGCCTGTGCCAAGGCCCGGCAGCAGGTTAGCTGTGGAGTGAAAGGGAGTGAAGAGAAAGCCAGTCCTGCGTTACAGCCCCAGCGGGGATTTTAAAAGCATAGTAAAAATGCATGGAGGTAGAATTAAGATATGCCTCAGCAGACAGTGATCCAATTCTATCGTTTCTTATACTTTGGGCATTTTCTTACCTTTCTTCCCCACTGTGTTTTTTATAAAAGCATTTTCCAGATTTGTACATGGACCCAAAACCTCTCTACTTCACCTGAACTAAATTTCCATCAGTGACCAGAAATTAGAAATTGTATAGGGGATTTAAAATTTGTAATAATAATGACAGTAGCATTTGAAAAGCATTCACATTAAAACCTTGTGGGACACTGTTTGGGGAAAAGGTGTGTATGTGTTTATGGACGTGAACTTTTGCCATGGTTTATGGATGCAGATTCCTTTTGGGTCATAGGTTAGTGGCTGAGCAGCTAACCCCAGGCTGCATGTTAGGTTTCTCTGCTCTTAAACGGTTTGCCACTACAGTTTCCTTATGTGCCCACTTTCCTCCCGTCCTGGGACAGGCTCAGGATGTGGGGGAGCTCAGCAGCCCGGACCCTCAGAAATGGCTGTCGAGTAGGCGTGTTTTCCATCATAGGAACCAGAGGAGGGAAGACGATGATTTTAGAAATAACTGTTTTGTCAGACGTGAACTAAAGTGGGTGTGGACTAAAGTGGGCAGGTGAAGCTCTGCTTGGTGCTGGGTGGAGGTGGGGGAGGAGCTTCCCTGGGACTGTGAGTGCAGATGTGCTTTTTAACCCTTGATTGTTTGCCTCGTGTCTTCAATTATCTAGTTACTGAAACTGAAGTTGGCAAGAGGCAGTTGATTTTCCCCCATGGTCTAGGCTCCCAGGAGTCCCCAAAGGACTTGGGGGGGGGGCGCCAAGAATGGTCCCTGGGCCTGGGTCTCAGGTAAACCCAGTGAAAGCACTGGGAGCTACTGGAATCCTAGAGCCAGTTCTTGAGCTACTCTGCTTTATAAGAGATGGAGGAAATACTGAGGCGCGGATTTTTCCGCAAGTTTTAATGGAGCCCCACGAGTGCAGCGTTGGTTTGGGAGCTGAGCTGGTGACGGGATGCTCCACTCTCTCCAGATCAATAAGGGGTAGGCAGAAAAGCGAGAGTGAGTGTCTGGGTCTGTCTGTCCTTCAGCGACTGACTGACTTGAGGAATTAGGACAGAAAGAAGACTTAATCAGGTGCTGTCTACAAGTGTTGGAAAACGGGTCTTCAGAACATATAATTTGGATGAAAATCAGTACCGCATAGACAGGAGTGCAAAGGAGTTGGAACGTACTTGGTTTTGGCCCTAGATTCGTTCCCATGCCTTCGGCCAGCCCCACCCGTTCCTCTTACCAGTTGACCAGTTGACCACCTGGCTGGGCTCCGGGTGGCCTCGGGCCTTCGCAGGGGAGCCAGAATTACATCTCCGTGTCTTTGCATTTTGTATCCAGGTTTCTGCTGAGTCCAGCTCCTCCATGAACTCCAACACCCCCCTGGTGAGGATAACAACACGCCTCTCCTCAACAGCAGACACCCCCATGCTGGCTGGGGTCTCTGAGTACGAACTGCCAGAAGACCCAAAGTGGGAGTTCCCGAGAGATAAGTGAGTATTTCTACAGGGCATGTGCCCGAGTGGGGACACCGGTCACTTGGGGCTGTTGGCTTGAAATTTTCTTCCTATGACTCTGAACCTCAAAGGTTTTGCTCTGACAATGTCAACGGGAGTGAGATGATGTCACTGGCTTGTGGATGACGGCCCTGTTTGTCTTGACGTTTGGGGTGTCTTCTGGAGTGTGTGTCAGAGAAAGAAATGTTTAATTACTAATAGAAAGATCTCATGTGCACATTTGGAAATACAGAGATAAGCTTTCCCAGGGACTGGAGGTAGGAGCTCTATTTGGAAGGAGGGGGCTTACCGACACGTGTCATTTTGACTCACACAGCTCCACACCAGTTGTTACCCAGCAGCCAGTGAATGTGCCCCATGAACTGGGACCGAGTGACTGTCCGGGTATCCTGTCAGTGTTAACAGACGTAACAATCAGATTATTTGTGTAGCGTTGAGAAAAGACCATTCATTCATTCCTTTTATTGAACATGTCCCGGGGAGGTGCAGAGAAAACATAAAGAATGATTTCTTTGCCTGTAGAAAGTGGAGAGAGAAAGGAGTTGTTTCTCTTGAATCTCCCAGCCCCCGGTTTGCTTAGGCATGTAGGTGGGTTCCTGTGCAAGTCCTGTCGTGCACAGGGCTGAGCGGGGAACTGCCATCATATTTTAAGGAGCTACAGCTCTTGGTTCAGTGCCTGAGCTGCTGCCACCTGTGGCGCTGAAGTCAACAGTGGATTCTGTATGTGCCGAACTGGTCGCTCCCATGGGGGGACCCTGAGTGTGGAAAATCTGAGTGCTGAGCGTTTCAAAACAGTGTGTAGCACCGATGTAGGTGGGGCAGATTTCCGTGAATGAGGGCTATTTAGAAGTAGTTTATTAGATCGGAGGCCGAAGTTACACAAAGAAAGCCTTGTTAGGCTTGGAGTAGCAGGGCGATTGGACATAAATTAGCCATTTTTCCAATGCAAATGTTTACTTTCTGCCAAGATATTAAATTTAATTTTAGTTCAGAGGAGAGACAGAATGACCTCAGCCTACGCAAAATGACCTCAGTATACGCTGCCCTCGGCCTTTAGGTTGAGCGTTCGCAAACCATTGTGTACTTGCCATAAACACTGAGGGCAGCTGAGGGCAGCTCAATATTGTGCTGTGTTGTGCTTGAGTGAAAAACTCACATTCGTAAGTGCTTCGAAGAGTTCTCCATTCTGGGGCTTCTGGAATGCCCAGGGACGTAGATGGCTACTCGTGTGGGGACATTAAAGGCTTCCGAGCTCAGGAATTGAGTTTGTTGTGTTTACTGTGGATTTCTTCATTATTAATTCGGGGTCATAGGGATTTCTAGACTGTTATGTTAAAAAAAAGCTACTCTCCCCAACTTCTAAAAATTTCTTTAGCAAAAAACTAGAGATTCCTTGAAACGTGTTTAAGGTTCGTCACTTGTGACCATGAAATCCCTTGGTATTTGACTCATAGGGGTTTTAGAGACATCACAGACAAAAAACTAAGAATAACTTTTCTGTCTTTCCTTGAGACATTGTAAATGACAAATCCTTGACTGACTGGAGATCAAAATCTTCTCCTGATAGCACCGAGGCGATCTGACCACCTCACCACCTAGGATGCCTTCCTAGAAAAGAAACTGAGGCTGCAAGAGCTGTTCTGCCAGCAATTGTCATGCCCTAAAACGTCACCGAAACACGCTCCAGTGCGTGTGGACCCCAGGTCTCATTAGTTCCATATGATAAATGCTCCATGCTTTCGCAAGCCGCTGAAAGATTTTTATATTTAGTTCTGGAATTTCCCTCCCTCCACCCTCACCAGATGCTGGGCACTAATCCCCTATTTATGCTTTTAGGCTGACGCTGGGCAAACCCCTGGGGGAAGGTTGCTTTGGGCAAGTGGTCATGGCTGAAGCGGTGGGAATCGACAAAGAGAAGCCCAAGGAGGCCGTCACTGTGGCCGTGAAGATGCTGAAAGGTGATGGGGAGGGGCGGCAGGTGGGGGAGGGGCGGCACAGCTTATCAAGAATGTGCCTTTTGTGGCTTGTCAGCTCTATCGCTGCCGCCGGGGTCAGAGAGCACATAGCTGACCCAGGGGTCGAGAAGTTTTCAGTATAAATCAGCATCTTGGACAGACTATTTATCTTGAGCTGTGTGCACTTAGGAAAAAGAAAAGCCGGTTTTGTTAGAAAGTAGCTGTCCCCTAAATTGTGTTATTTTTCAATCCTTGTAGATGACCGGGATTCTTTCTCCTGTATTTGTGCTGAGAAGGTCTCAGCTCCCAAATAATTAATTTGGGCGGGTGTTGGTGCATCAGATGGAGGACCCCAACTTTAACTTGCAAAGAGGAGACTTGGATGAAGCTGGGGTGGAGGGTGCTGGGGGAGAGGGGACCACGCCGTCTCGCTCTTGAGAGGCACACAGCAGAAATCACACTGTCCCGAGGGCTCTTTCGGGAAAAGCAGCGAGCAGTGTGGGTGCTGGTGCAGGTGCGGAGCCTTCCGGGACGTAGAATCGGTTCCCCGAGAGGGAGACCAAGCTGCGTCTGGGGGAGGCTGCCCCTTCTGCAGGAGCCTCAGCCCCACTGCCTGCCTCCGGCCAGCGAGCTTGAGGGTCTTTCCACCAGGCGCTTCCCTGGCAGGGTCCCCGTTGCGGGAGGAGTGACAGGGAACAGTCACGCTGTGAATCTATCCTGGGGACCCCAGGAAGCACACCCCCAGCCGAGTGTCCCCCGGTGTCCAGGAAGAGTCTGTTCTTGGCACTTGGGGTGCCTGCTGCGTCGGGGGTGTACTGAGAGTCAGGGTTTCTTTCTTGTGTGGGTTCCCATGGGACAGTCTTCATGTCCCTGCCCAAGGGAAACTGCGGGCTGGAAATAGAAGAAAAAATGCTGACTTTTTGTTTTTTCTAAGCTGCTGCGTAGAGGGGCTCTTCAGGAAAGGCCAGGCCGTGAAGCTGCTTCCCACCCACAGGGAGCCTCCTGGCTCACGACCTGCCTTGAGTGCCCAGACCCCGCAGGGCGGCAGGTGTGGGGTGGCCTAGGCAGCCCCTGGCTGGGGACCAAGGTCCCCTGTGGGGAAGGCCCAGGCTTCCCATCTCTTTTCAGTGCTCATTTTTTGAGGGTACAGGGCCCAGAGATACCCAGGATGTTGCAGGAGGGAGCCGTGGCAGCTGAGTTTCTGGCTGCACCCCGGCTGGCCTTCCCTGTAGGATGGGTAAGGTCCTAAGCCCCAGATCCTTGGGACACATCCTTTATGCAGCCAGTGTGTGCCTTGTTGCTGGAGAACACCCTAAGTGGGTGAGCACGGGGCACCCTCCCCTCTCCATGGCAGAGCCCAGACCTCCAGGCATGCCAGTGTGGGTCTCACACTCGGTCCCGGTCTCTCTGCCTCTCGGGCTGCTCAAAAACTCTTTGCAGCATGACTCTCGTCTCTGCCCTTGTTTCCTTGTGTTAGTAAGTCCAGATCTGTCCATGCTGAATTTGCCACAATGGGGCATGTGAGTTGTGCTGCTTTCTAGAAGCTGTGAGCCCAGGGACGCAGGACCTAGGTCAGTCTTGCTTGACTTGACAGAGCAGAGGCTTGTAACACTTGCCCTTTTTTGGGTGGGGCTGTCACAGTCCCCTTTGAGAAGCCCCTAGGAGGTATGGAAGCCCCCGTCTCCGCCCCACTGCTCAGAATGTGCGTGCCTGCGATGTGAGTGCACAGGTGCAGGGCGCTGTGCACCTCCTCCGAATGCTCTCAGGGTACTGGGTCTGGGAAGTGCCTCTACCGGCCTTCACCTGTCCTTAAGTCCTTACAGTTGCTTTCAGGCACCAGGGAGTTGGAGCACCATAGATATGCCAGAGGATGGAATTATTTCACAAGAGAGTCAGCCCCCCCAAATCTAAGGGGTTTGTTGGAAAAGAAGTGGCCTTTGCGTCAGAGGCCCATGTTCCAGACTCCGCTTTTGACCCCACTGACCCCAAATTAGTGCTTTAACTTGGAGCCAGGCAGCTCCCACCTGGCCTTTGCCTCCTTCCCAATAAAATAAGGGGGATTGCTTGGAAATCCTGTTCAGAAAATTTTCAGGCTATTTGGACTCTGCTCACACCTGCCAATAGCGATGGGTTAGAGGAAAATGATCTGCAATTTGCCTGATGTTTGTAGATGACGCCACGGAGAAAGACCTGTCAGATCTAGTGTCCGAGATGGAGATGATGAAGATGATTGGAAAACACAAAAATATCATCAACCTCCTTGGAGCCTGTACTCAGGATGGTGAGTCAGGGCAAATGCTTTCACCCCAATACTCGGAGGTGCAGTGCTGGCTTCATTCTGGGTCTTGCTTCCAGGGCAACTCAGGGTGTTTAAAGTTCTCCCTAAAATCCCTTAGAATGGTGTTCCTGACCATGAACACAGGGGCTTGGTGACCATTCCTGGGGGGCCGGAGAGTGGTGGGTGGGCATTGGCTGGCTGACTTTGGGTGGGAGGGCCTATGGCTGTTTAGGGCATAACCTGGACGGGTTTGGAGAAGGTGGCCACCTTACGTTATTGTTTGTAGTTGCTAAGAGATGTCTCAAAACAAGAGTCTCTGTTCTGCTTGACAATTCTCCCCTTAAAATGGACATTCTGGAAGCTGTCTTGCTGTGGGCAACAGATGGCTAGATTCCCAAGACTATCTTAAAAGGAAGAGTGTGTATAAAGGGACATGTTATCTCCCTTGGGCTGGGAGAGACTTGGCTTCTGTCACTGAAGAGCTCACCTTTGCAGGTCTATCTGGGGTAATAAAATTGAAGCAACTAGTCTTTACCCTAGAGGGGTTTCTCTTTAGAGCTGTGCCAGGAGTCAGAAGACTTTTCTGTAAAGGGTGATTATAAATACTTTCAGTTTTGTCCACCTGCTGTTGTGGTGAGAAGTGGCTGTGTGCCGGGTACTAGCCGGACTTGGCTGTGGACCTTCGCTTCCCATGCTATGTTCTGCAGCATGGAAAAGTGATGGCATGTGGGCATAAGGACATAGATGCAGAAATGCCCATTGTGTGTTCCGTGCTGTGTCCCAGACCTGGACGCTACCTATAAGAAAATGACTAAATAAAATATGGTGCGTGTAAAGGACAGAATATATGTCACTGTTAAAAGAAATGATCTAAATTTATTTTTATCAGCCTAATTAGGTTCTGTAAGGATCATGTATGTGGAAAATGTTGTAGGGCTCTACCTTTATTATTCATGCATGTGATTAAAAAGAATTTATTGCTTCTTGGTGTGTGTATGCATGTGAAATCATAAAATGAACTGGAAGGAGTCCATTTCTGATTGCTTTCCAAGAGGCCCCGGGTGAGAGACTGGAATGATCGGGAAGGATGCTCACAGCACCTTTGTTTATTTCTGAAAGACTTTTTGAGATGGCCTTCTCCAAGTGTCTGTTATCATTTGGGGGAAAAAAGAAGGCAGGTGCTCTGCTTTTGCATTTGCTTTTCTATATGTCTAAAAAAATAAAGCCCTGGGTTGTCATAACTGAAACCTCTTTGCTGAGCACCCCGGAGGGTCCTGGCCTCAGCCTCAGGAGCGCCCCTTCTCCATCCACAGGGCCTCTCTACGTCATCGTTGAGTACGCCTCCAAAGGTAACCTCCGTGAGTACCTGCGAGCCCGGAGGCCTCCTGGCATGGAGTATTCCTACGACATCAACCGTGTTCCTGAGGAGCAGATGACCTTCAAGGACTTGGTGTCGTGTACCTACCAGCTGGCCAGAGGCATGGAGTACCTGGCTTCCCAGAAAGTGAGTCCTGTGCCTTCTCCATGGGGTGGATTCTAGTGCAGAATGTCTTTGAAGAAAGCAGGCCATGCGGATGGGCTCATTTGCTAGGTCAAGCCCTTGCCTGTCTTAGGCAACCTGGAAAATACTGCATTATTCACGTTAGGATTTCCTCAGCTCTTTAAAGGCCTAAGCAGAGCCTACAGAAACATAGAGAAGGCATGTTTCTCTGTCACAGCTGGTTGTGCCCTCCTGGGATTTAGCTCCGGGAACAGCTGGTGGGGGAGTCCTGCCTGTAATTCTGGCGATTGTTTTGGCTTTTTTGTTTTGTGGTTATTGGGTTTTGGGACATAGACTTTGGGTGTTGTGTTTGATCTTGAGTTTGCAATGGCCGAAATATTCTAAGAGTAAAGATAACACAGGGATATTTTAACAACCTTGAGTCCTGGATATGCTCTGGGTTTATTTGGTTGCATTTCATGGGGTGAACCCCTGTGGTTAGAGTTGGCAGGGCCCCCCAGGTGACACTCCCGCGGGCCATGCATGCCACTTGCCGCAAACTAGAAACATCTGCGTCATTGTGGAAGTGGTTCGACAGGTGTCCAGAGGTGCTCCGGGGCATTTTGGATGACCCGAGACACCCTTTCTTAGCCCACACCTGGGGAACAGGAGGTGCCAGACTAACTACCCCCTTGGGCAGAGGTGGTGGCACATGGCGAGACATCAGGAATTTCTCGGGCCCCAGAGAGGTGAGAGCTCAGTGGGCATGGCCCTGGGCCGTGGCCCTGGGGCGTGGGCCTGGGGCATGGGCCTGGGGCGCAGGGCAGCCGGCAGGTGAGCCCACCTGCATGCGCGGCAGACGGGTGCTCCTCAGCTGCCTGCTGTCTGTGGCCACACAGGCTCATGCCAGGATGACCACATTACTGTTCTTTTGTTTGGTTCCGTTTTTTATTTTCACGAGAGTCCAGAGTCTGCTTTCTTCAGATTTTTTTCTGGCGAAAGTTCCAGTATAGAGATTTTAGGAAACTCACAGAGTTGAGGTCTGCGATTGTGTGGCGTGCCCATGTACACGGTGCGGGAGGGTGGTGCCAGCTGAAAGCCTCTGGCTCGAGGTGACAGTTAGATCCGGAAAGGGGGACATTTGTCAAGACATCAAAATGTCAATGTCCTGAAATACAAAAACACTGGGGAGAATGTTCCAGGCGAGAGGCCCCCTAAGGGAGGTGCGAACAGCACACCTGTGTGTGCTCGTGGACTGGGTCCCACTGGGGGAAGGCGGGGAGAGGGGAGGGGCAGCTTGTCTGAAGGACACTTATGAGCACATGAAATTTGAGAGTGAACCTTTTTAGCTAATAGGATTGTGTCGGTGTTAAACTGGGGGGGTGGGCGAGTGGTGGTGTGTCAAGATAGGAGGTATGGATGTGCCCACACAGTTAGAGTGGAGGGTAGTGGGCCTGCAACTGTGAAAAGTGTCGTGTGGTTTTGTGTGAGTGTGTGTGACGTGGGTGTATTGTGTATATGTCTTGTTCCTGCTGGCTAGCGTGTGTTTAGTGTGTGGCGCGTGTGTGTATGTGTGGTGGTATGTATGTGCGTGTGTATGGTACGTGTGTGTAGTGTGTGTGCGCGTGCCTGGGGCGGTTGGGTGTGGATCGAAGGAAAAGTAAGTCATCCTCAGCAAATCTGGCAAACATGTGTCTCCATTGTCCTACTTCAGCTTTTCTGCAGCTTTGAAATATCCCTAAAAAAATCACCGGGGGTGGCGTGTCTGCAGCTCCCTGCGGGACCCTCTGGTCTTGCTCACTTTACATCCCCGTGTGGGAGAAGGGAAGGTATTTTGGACTCAACAGGGCGCTGCTCCTGGCAGGAAGGCTGGCCATTGTATTCATCCCTTCATGAAGATTCCTGAGTCTTCCTGGTATGGCTGCCTGGCGGCCTGGGTCAGGCGCCTCGTGAAGTGATGGAACACACAGGCCTTGACCTTGCGGTGCTGGGCCCGTGGGTGAGAGCAGGAGAGATCAGCAATGAACCTGGCGGCAAACATTAGTAAGAAGCTGAGAAGTCTGCAGACAGGGTGGGGTGAAGAAGAGCCTGCACTTGGGGAGGGAGGGAGGGGTTGGGCCGGGAAGGTCATGGGGTGAGTGCTTGCTCAGAGGGTCCGACGTGTGGGATGTGGCTGCAGGCAGGTGGCCCTGCTCATTCAGGGGCCCAGACCCAGGCAGGCACCCGGACTGGGGGGCCACTGAGGGACAATCGCGCCAGCTTGGGCTGTAGAGCTCGCTTTCACAGGGCTGGGAACACGAGTCCTGCGGAACAGTTTGTGGGTTGGATTCAGGCTGTTGCAGGCGCTGGAGAAGCCTATTGATTTTGGAGCTACTTTGCCATCAGGATCGTCCATGAACTGATCCTCTCTGGGGAAGGAGAGAAAGGCTTCGAGAATGACTTCTGGATTCCCAGCTTGAGAAATCGCTCAGCCTGTGCAGAGGAGGAAGCCTTGGCGAGGCAGGGGGCTGGTGGGGTGGGTTTTGGTGGAAAACCCAAGGCACACTGAGAACCTGCCTGGGAGGCCTCGCCAGACGGAAGCTCAGCGCTGAGGGCGCAGCAGCGGAGGGCGTGGCTCAGGCCCTGGGCATGGACGGGGTGTTGGGCATCGGGGGTGAGCGGAGAGGCTGAGAAGAGGGTCAGGGACGCTGGAGTCCAATCCTGGAAGTGCTCCAATCTAGAGATTGGACGCCAGGGAGATGCCCCCCGGGGAGATGCTCCCAGGACACAGGCCCGGATGGGGTGGAGTCCCCGGTGCGCAGTGGTCAGGTGTGTGTCCTCGTGCTCAGAAGGAGGCGGGAACAGTGGGCTGCGCTCCCCTTGCACCCTGGGCACGAGGGCCCCGAGGCCTTGCCTGTGTGCAGCCGTGTGTGGTGCGGAGGGAGAGAGCAAAGAGCCACAGGAGCTTCTTAAAACGGGGCAGGAAAACACAGTTTGGAGCAGCAGGCTGGGAGCAGCTCCATTACTGGTGTGATCAGGGTAGTTGTTGTTATTACTGATCACGACTGCGTTTTGGAGCTGCCAGGCAGGGGCAAGCATTGTGCCCAGTGTCACATGTGACCTCAGACCAACTCGGGCGCCCTGGGAGGGCCCCTTGATGGAGCAGGATGCTGAGGAGTGTCGCTGGGAGGTCACCCAACCCTCACCCCGGCCAGACCGGGTGTGTCCAAGTCACTGTCCCCCTTCCCAGATGGGCACTGGGAGGTTCCCAGGGTGAAGGGGCTGATTCCCGACCCACCTCTCAGCTCTCCACCCACCCACTGCCCTGCCGGCTCCCTGTTCCCCACCTCTCTGCTCCCACAGTAGTCCCTGCCTCGCTCCACGCTCAGGTAATTGCTGCTTCTCTCTGTTCTCAAGGAAGCCTTCCCCCTCTGCGCTCTTGGGTAGCCCCTCCCTCTCTCTGGGAAGGGGAAGGTCTCCGCACCGGCTCCCCCTGCTCCCCACTGCAGGGCTGATTCTTTGCTATTATCTGTAGACGAGCCGGGGGTGGAAGGAGCAGTCATGTCCTGAAGGCTTTGCAGGTTCCAAAGTCCCGGCTGATGACCTCCTGTAATTAAGGACCCAGATCAGTTTTGGTGAAGATCTTAAAAATGATCTTGTTGGGAAGAACCAGTTCCCCTGAACAGAGGGCCTGTTCCTGAGGGTGGAGAGCGAAGCAGCAGGCGAGCCCAAATCCTGGCCTTCCCCCCCACCCCGCAGTGGGCAGTGATGAGCATATTGGAGACCACTCTGGAAGGAAGAGCGAGGGGGACTGGTGAGCTCGTTGGGTGGAATTTTGTGCTTTTTTTTTTTTAAGATGCATTTATTTATGCATCTAAGAACTGGGGTACAGCCCAGAGGTGCTGGGAGGGGGGAGTGGAATCTTGAATTCAGCTCAGGAAGCATTCGCTGGGTCAGGCTCCAGGCAGAGCCCAGCGTGCAGTGTCCTCAGGCCCTGCTCAGGTGTGTGGGGGAGGCAGTGAAGAAAGAAACTCGGTGGCACATGCAGGGGTGTAATCAGCTAATGGGGTACTGGAGCCGAGCACAAATATGAAAGCCTTGCTATTTTTAGTTCAAAGCACACTCATTTTTCTACCAACTCCCCAAACCAGTTATACCTCCAAGATGTTCAAACCTGCACAGGTTTTTCTTTTCAAAGCAAGCCTCAACTTTCCCATCTGTGAACGGGTTTAATAGCAGCCGTATCATGGCTTGCCTTGGGATTTAGTGTGATCAGTCATGCAGAGGCACCAGCATGCACCTGGAACTTGGGGTGCTAGTCGTCCTCCCTGAGCAAGCCACTGACCTCCCCCAAAAATCAAAGACAGAAAAACCAGCATTGGGCAGCCCCAGCGCCCTCATGATGGGAACTGGTGGGCACTCAGGTTCTGCAGGGGATGGGAATTTCACTTGACTTGGTTTTCTTTGCCTTGGCCACCCAGTCTTGCTCAGCCCAGAGCTGCACATGGGGCCAGGACCCGGCAGAGAATGTGGACAGACAGGCGTTGGCCATGATGGAAGCCTGGAGAGGATGTGACTGGTTCTTCTGGGGACATGGTCCCTGGGAAGCCTGGGGGGGGGGTGCAGTGATGCTCCTGTGGAAATGCGGGGCCTGCTGGGGGGGCAGTGGCACCATGTGTGGGAACGGGGGTCGGCCAGCATGGCGGCCTGGCCTGGGGAGTCAGCGGTGGGAATGGAGTGGGTGGACATGGGAGAGGCATTTTGGAGATAAAAGGGGCAGACTCAGGAGGGGTGAGTGTGACGAGTTCTGTGTACATCTGCCTCTGACCGAGAGGCCAAGAGGTAAGAATTAGTGGAGTGGAGACTTTAAAATGGAAGTGTCCAGAGGACGTCCCGTGGAAATGTCCCATGGCCATTGTAAATGGGAACTTGGGCCCAGGATCGGGTCAGGGCAGAGATGGGACTTTGCAGATCTTTCGTATGTGCCTGAGAATCAGAGCCGCAAGGACATGTGGGGATACACCAGGTTGGTAGGACAAATCCTTTATTATGAGGGGCAGAAAAAGAGCAGCACTAGTCATGGAATCTGAGCTTGTAGGTGGAGAGGAAGAAACAACCAAGAGAAGGATGGGGGACTCAGTGGGGAGATGGTTTTCAAAATAAGGCAGAAATCAACAGTGTCCACAGCCAGAGAGGGGAAAATGGAGGAATTAGGTCATTTTAATTTGACAATTAAGAGATTCTCATAAAGGGCTTCCGTGGTGGCCTAGGGGAAGTGTCTCAGCGCTATCCCAGCTACAGCCTGAGTTCGATCCCCAGCCAGGGAGCTGACCCACAGGGCGCAGCAGACCTCTCCTGTCCTGCCCGCTGCTCCCCTCAGCAGTGGATTTCAGTCAGTCTGCCTGTTCTGCTCCCCACTCTGTCTCTGGTGAATCCTCTTACCCCCTGTACCTCTGGTCTGCACCCCAATTCTTCTATACAAATCTTTAAAAAAGAGGGGGGGAGCACGTCTCATAAACTGTTGGTGGGGGAAGGGGAGAAGCAGGGGGCAGGGATGGAAACAGGTTAGAATGTAGAGGAATAAAAAGAGGTGAAGATATGATGTTCCATTTTAACCTCCTCCTCCCCAAGTTTGCCCAAAAGGTCCAAAGAGCAAGGGTCAAGGTCAAGGTTTTTTGGGGAACTAATACAGACGTGTGCACAGGCTGCGGTGGTGCCCTCGATGGCAGGTACAAGAAATTGCGCTTACTTTGCCCCCCTCTGCTTTGCCAAGTGGCCAGGACCTTGGTCATTTATGCATTTTTAATTAGGAAAAGAAACACCAGTTTTTCACTCAAAGATGAAACTTCTGTCTGCATTATGAGAAGCGAATATGTCTTCTTTTTAGTTGAAGCCTTTTCCGGTCATTATTTGAAGCCTTTTGAAGAGTTCTTTCTCCATTTCAGTGTATTCATCGAGACTTAGCAGCCAGAAATGTCTTGGTGACTGAAAACAACGTGATGAAAATAGCGGACTTCGGGCTGGCCAGGGACATCAACAACATAGACTATTACAAAAAGACCACAAATGTAAGTCTATGGCTGTGACGTGGTGGGAGGAGGGGGCAGTGTGGAATGTTCCAGACAAAAGATGATGGCTACTTTGAGCCAGAGTCATCCATGAGGGCGCCTTCTCTGCCCCTTGTTCCTCTAGTTTGCCTTACTCTTTGTAAACTTGGGATCTGTTTAAGACACTGATTCCGTGTCCAACACTCCCAGCCCCATCAGCAGCTTCTCTAGGATCTTGAAGACCCTCTTTGTCCAGAACTTTGTTAGCATCGATAAGAGCTGGGGAGTTGCTGGGTTAGTTTTTATCTAGAAGGTTGCCACGTGTGTCTTTGAGAGGCGAGCACGCATCGAGAGAATCCAAGGAAAGGAGCTTTAATTATGTCCCCAAATCTGTGCATCTCAGCATGAAGGGTAGTCCCAGTGCCAGGCCCTTTTGTCGTAAGGCCCAACCCGTTAACATCGTCAGCTCCTGAGATGCACAGGACACTGGTCCCTGCAGAGCTGCTGAACACAACTGGTTTTAACGCATTTGTTTCCACCTTCTCCATCTTGCAGGGGCGGCTTCCGGTCAAGTGGATGGCTCCCGAGGCCCTTTTTGACAGGGTGTACACCCACCAGAGTGATGTGTAAGTGACTCCCTGCCTCTGGTTTCTGCACCCAGTTCACTTGCAAAACACACCTTCTAGGCTCTTCATCTTTCTTCGACCTGCGGTGCCGGCTGGCTTCACGCATCCCTGGGAGTGCAGGGGCTGACTCAGAAGGGACGGGCTTCATGGTGGCTGCTAACTGGTGCTCTGTCTCCAACTGCTCTGACTTCAGAGAGCAGGGGAGCTGAAGTGCCCACCTGACCTTCTGCGAGGGTGTGCAGACACCAAGCTGTTGGCCTGTCCTTTGACCCCGTAGAGAAGGAATCCTGAGATTTCCCCCGCCTGCGTGAGGGTGGGCTGTCGCAGTGCCCCCTCTCAGGGTTTGGCCTGGCCAGGCGAGCTCAGTGGGCCGTGGGTTGCTCAGATGGTCTCCACGGGGAGTGCTCGGCAGTGGATCCTTTGTAGAAAGTGGTCTCTTCGCATCCTTGATAACTGAAATAGTGTGAACGTCGGATCACTTGGGACATTTCTGATAACAATAGTGTTATCACACACTGGAAGATGCTCTTAGGTCAGCTTGCAATTGCTCTTTCCAAGTCTGGGCTTGGAGATCTGGTTGAAGGATGTGACTGCTACAGAAGCTGGGTGCAGGGGCATCTTGTACTACCTTTTGCAGGTTCCCCCAGTCTGTAATTATTCCAAAAGGAAAAATAGAAAGAAGTTGAGCGATTTGGATGGTGAGAGGGAGGATTTCTGGGGCAGGCGCTGACTCCCCACTCCCTCAGGGGTCCCCTGGACAAGCTTAGAAGGAAGGCACTGTGGCCCCACATTGGCAGTGGCCAAACCTGGAGGTTTCCTTTCTGAAACTCACCCGAACAGAGCCGGGAAGGCGTGTGTCCTGAGCCATAGGGACGCAGGCAGATGTAGGGTCCCGGGCTGATGTCTCAGGAACTGCGAGTCTCCGGAACGGAGCTAGGAAAGTGCACACGGGTCTCTGCAAGGCCAGGTGTTAATTACGCTCTATGAGACGTTTCCTGTTCCTGTGGTGTGAAGCCGGGACCTTCCATCCCAGCCCCAGCCTGGCGCTAGCTGCCTCATGACTTCAGTAAGGCAGGACCTGCTGTGCCCTCAGATGCCCCAGTTCTGGGGCAGCTATTACCTGGCGGGATGAGCCTGCTGGCCTTATTCTGTCAGCTGCCCTCACGGAGAGGTCCCGGCCCTAGAGTCATGTGCGTCGGCTGACGGAAGAGTTGGACAGGAGCATAAAGAGCTTTGAAGCCCATGGCTCAGGATTTCCACTTTGCTGGGGGATTTTTTCAGAGGGTTAGGAGAACACCACCACCACCCCAGGCCTCCACTGAAGCCAAGCAGATGAGCGATGGCTCCCCATCACTGGTCTGTTGCCAGGGATGGAAAGTTCCATCGAAACATCCCACGTCATCATCATTAGGGGTTGCTCCTCAGGGCAGGCAGGGGCACGTGGATGACCTGCAGGGGGACTCAGGTTATTTGCCTTTGAACTTTAGGAGTAAGTGGGAGTTTATTTCTTAACTGGGCCTGTTGAGGCTTCTGTGATTCAGATGGGTCGGTAACACCGTTTCCTCCCTTCTCTGCAGCTGGTCCTTTGGGGTGTTGATGTGGGAGATCTTCACCTTAGGGGGCTCTCCCTACCCAGGGATTCCCGTGGAGGAACTTTTCAAGCTACTGAAGGAAGGACACAGGATGGACAAGCCTGCCAACTGCACCAACGAGCTGTAAGGCCCAGTCTCTGACGCGCGCGTCTTTGCCACGCCTGTGGCCCTTCTGTTTTCCAAGGCCCCTGGTTTTCTAAACATAATCTGCTAAGAAGAAGAATTGCTGAAACGCTCTGGGCCCAGTTCCAGAACTGAGATAGGCAGCTAGCACTGACAGTCGTGACTGCCAGAAGGAAGGACGGCCTCCTGAGGTGTATGGAGGGACGTTCCCTTCCGCCAGAGAGGGCGTAGGGCTGCCCGGCCCAGGGCTCCGACCTCAGGGTGGGCCAGGCCGCTCCTCCCAGGCCACTGTGCTATTGTCTTTCCTCAGAGTGATGAGGAGACCTCGGTGTCATATGTGGGTCCCTCATATACAGTCTAGAAGGCTCTGGGGTTGAAGAACCAGCATCACCTCTTCTCTGGGCCTGTGCCGGGCCCTGCAGGCGGTGAGGGGCACGGAGCTTCTACAGCATCCTCGTGACTGCTGGCAGCTGCTGCTTATAGGCCGACTCCAGCGCCAGCAGGGAGGTGTCTGGCTGCCCACATTTTGGCCCCAGTTGAGTGCAGAGAATTAAAGATTTGCTTCGGTGCCACTCTTCAAGATCTTATTCTAAAAACCATGCACTGGTTTCTCGAAAAACCGACCCCGTGCTCGAAGTAGAATTATGTTGTGTGTGTGACCTCTGTCTTGTACAGTAAGAACAGTGCTTTGAAAAGGAGTCTGTCCTCCCCCCAGGATTAACTCAGAAGAGTGATTGTCCCGGAGACTGCTGTCTATTGTGCCCCGTTTCACGGGGATTTTATATCAGTAATCCCGAGAGTGCCTTGCGGTGTACGGTGGACGTCTGATGAATGGCCACATTTTATAGTATATTATATAAAGGCATTTATTGTGCTGCTTGTCATTCCTATTTCTCTCTCTCATATAGAGGGTCTGTCGAAACCTATAATCAAGATAAGGCTGGGAACCTAGGCCTCTCTGAGAGTTAATCAGGAAGTTAGTTCGCGGCCCAGCGATGGCAGATTGATTCAGAGAAACCTGTCTTGAACATTGTGGTTTCCAGCCTTCGTTTTTCAAGACTGAGGAAGCTTTGTCTGCTAGAATCTTTAAAACAAAACCCAAAGTGTCAGACAGATACAGAAGAGCTGCCTTGGGCCAGGCAGGCGTTGGTGGGGGGCCAGTCTGAGCGCCCCCTACTCTGATCACCCAAGTGTGGCCCTGCCCCGGGGACACTAGGAACACAGTGGAGACGCGCGGACGTGTCCTTCTGGACGGTGTAGAAACCGTCTTAGTATGTTGTGGGTAGAGTGACCCTTCGGCAAACTTTCCATGTGGCTCTCAGAGGAGCCAACCAGTAGGTCTTTAGGAACAGTGAATCCGAGCTCCTAACTTAGCTGCTTGGACCGTTCTGGCGCGTTTTCGTAACCGAGGCGGGATCCCTCTCCACATTGCCCATGGGAGCTGCTTGCAGCCACGTGCTGGTGCTCAGGGAGCCCCTCTCTGCAGGTACATGATGATGAGGGACTGCTGGCACGCGGTGCCCTCCCAGAGGCCCACCTTCAAGCAGCTGGTCGAAGACTTGGATCGGATTCTCACTCTCACAACCAACGAGGTAAGGACCTGCTTCGGGAAACCCGGGATTCCCCCTCACTCTGCTTGCGAGGCCCGTCAGTGTGCTTTCTCAAATGCAGCCTCCCTGGTGGAGTCGGCTTGGAGTGTAGTCATTTATCATCTTTCCACGGGGGGTCAGACAGAGTTAAACTGCATTCCTCCCAAACTCTGATTTTCCCCAGAGCTTGTGAGTTCTGACTCATGAAACCAAAGAGGCCTCTCTTGACACTGCCCCTCAGTGTGGCCTTTGGGGTGGCGGGTTCCCTCAGGGTGACTTTGGGGTGCTGGCTCCCCTCAGCGAGGCTCTGGAGTGGCAGGTACCCTCAGTGTGGCTTTTTGGGGTGGTGGGCCCAGGATGGGCATGCAGGAGAGTGGGAGGGGGCAGCAGTGCCCAACAACAGTGTCTGGTTTTGCGTGGAAAGAGCTTGGGTGGGTGAGGCTGGCTTCTGGGATGGGTGTGAGAGCCGCTGCTGCTGGGCAGGCCCAGACGCGTGAAATGCTGGGACCGCAGCCTCCGTGGACACCAACAGGCCCACGGGATCCTGTCTGGCAGCGGCATGAGGTCTGGGGTCTCCTCGTGTGTGCGACTGAAACCCGCACAAGATGTCCTAGAATGTCCATTTGAAATTTTAGAAAGAGTATTTTTGATTTTTTTTTTTAAAGATTTATTTATTTGTCTATACAAGCACTGGGTACAGTCAGAAGCGCGGGAGGGTCAGAGGATTCACCAGAGCCAGAGCGGGGAGCAGAGCAGGCAGAAGGACCGAAGGACACTGCTGAGGGGAGCAGCGGGCGGCAGGAGAGGTCTGCGCGCCATGCAGGACCCTCCTCCGGTGGCCGGGGAGCAGCCGGGGATCGAACCGGCGCTGCAGAGGCCGCGGGCAGCTTCGCAACCCAGCGCTCAACCGCTGCGCCACCGGGGAGGCCCAGAATTTTTGATTTTTTAAGAAGCAATTATGCTGGTAACGCTGGTGTGTGGCTTTAAGCAGTTTCGGGTCTCAGCACTGTCCTTTGACACCTGCATAGACAACATTGTGGTCCTCAAATATCTAGTTTCCATGAGTGACTTGTGTGATTTTTAGATGAAAATGTGTATTTTTCAGTGACATGTTTACTTTCTATAAAATATTTAGAATCTATACTAGCAAAATCACTCTGTCTCGATTCAGCCTTCCTTGGCCGCTTCAGCCCCCACCTGAAGGCTCCCAAGACGAGGGTGAGGGAGTAAGCAGGAGGGACAATAAATCCATCAAAGCCACAGAGGCCCACAATAGAGAAATTGTTGCTGAATCAATTTGGGAGATTTATTGAGGATGCAGTGCCATGTTCCCCAAACAGAAAAAAACTACCTCTCTGTGATCTTAACACAAAAATGGTTAAAATCACCCACTTTAGAAGAATAATTTATTTTCAAATAATACATTGCACAATTTTAGAATGATATTAAACAAGAATAATTAAAGGTTGTGATAAGAAGCCTTGGGCCAGCGACATTATCTGGCTGTGGCTGATAAAGGGAGAGATTGCATTTAAATGAAGACAGCTGACCTTCAGAAGTTGAAAGGAGAGGAGCAGTTCAAGGGGAAGAGAAAAAAAAAAAAAACAACTTTCTTCTCCTGCCAAAACTGTTGTTTCTAGCTTAAGTTCCTTTTACCCTAGACTTGGAATCCACTGATATCCCTGTGGCTCCTCCCATCCCTCCTACCCCCCCCCCCCCACCATTGGATCTGAACATTTACGGCTTCATTTAGAAATTAGGAAAAGCTCTAGAGTTCCATCGCAGCGGCCCTGTGCCCATGCTCAGTGCTCTTAGTACAGTTCCGCCTAAAGCAGGGGCGCTCACCCTGAACTTTGAATCTAGGATCCTAACATAAGAAAGCAGAATGCCGTATTGTCTAACGGATATAAAACTCGAAGTTTCTTTCCTTCTGGAAATCATTACCATATGCCTGAGCAAAAATGGTTCCATTTAGGACAAAATTTCATTTTTATCATTGTAAGCAAAAAGTCCGCTTTTGATGTGGTGGGCGTGTTTGTTTCCAGTTGTGAGGCCAGTGCTGATGCTGTTGGAACTGACACATCCCCCATTCTGGGGTGGGGGCTTCCTCTTGCCAGCCTGGGTGATGAATTATAGTGGGGCGTGTCTTTTTTTTTGTTTGGTCTTTTAAAACGTTATCGGTCGCTGACCTTTTGTGGGTTCTTTCTGGTAACCCCGAGGCGGGTTGTGCCAGAGTCTGCACTTTTGGCCTCCAGCTCAGCTAAACAGGTGTCACCGAGGAATCACAGGCTTCTGGGTGGGTGAGCTGACACCCCACATGTCCTGAGACCCGACTTAGCAATCGGTCCCTGGTTTCAGAGTGGGGGTCTGTACATGACTGCGAGGGGCCACGCTATCCACATCTTTGGCTCGGCAGGCCACCCCATCTCTCGAAACAACTCAGCTCTGCCTGCAGCCAGCGACAATGAGTGAATGCCTCTGTTCCAGATCAAACTTGCTGGGCCCTAAAATTTAAATTTTATATGATTTTATATGAATTTTATGTTATGTTATACAAGTTTAATGCCATGAGGTATTATTCTTCTCTGACTCTTTCCAACCTTTTAAAAATGTGAAAGCCCATTCTTAACTCAAGGGCCCTGCGAGAGCAGGGAGTGGGGTCTACTGCGAGGTGTGTGATCCCGGACCTGCGGGTGCCCCCGTCTCTGACAGCAGCCCCGGTGGGGGCTTTAGGGAGCAGGACAGGGCTTTTTGTATTCCAAACCTACCAACTTTGAAACCCAACCTCTATTTACCTAGACTTTTCTTTAGTGGTCCATTTTGGATTTAGCATGCATGAGCATGTATCTGAGGCTTTGAGGGGAACCTGTTTACATTTGCAACTGTCAGGGCTTCTGAGAGTAATGAGTTACATCCGTGAAGCTACCTGACAATAGTAAAATGTCCCTGAATAGTCATGGTTCCAACTATTTAAAGGGGTCCCGCATTATTTTCATTTTGCTGGGTTTGGATTTGAAACCAATGATGCAGAGCAGAGCAGGCAACCCTCCTGGGTCTCTGAAGTCAAGTTGACCACACAGCACCTGCAGTGCAAGCAGGTTGCAGCACTCCCCAGTTGCCAGTGGCTTATTGTAGGGAAAAGGGATTTACTTGGGCTTTCGCCCGCCTCCCAACGCCAGCCTCTACAGCCACCAACTTCGGCCTTGTTTTTCCTCCTGGGTTTTGTTGCCCACACGTGATATAGTCTTGGTGCAAAAAGTGCTTGGGAGTGTGAGCACGGGGCACACTCACCTGTAAATTGGATACCTGGGCTGAGAAGCCAGAGAGCACAGGGTGCATGTACCGTAAGCACAGACACCTGGGTGGAGAGAGAGGAGGGGGGAGACCGACCGAAATTGTGGAGATCGCAGGGGACTGGTGGTCTCCATTGCTGCCAGCCTCCAGCATGCCTGTCTGCTGGGGTGCCTGTGTACCTGCTCCCCTGTTTTAACTCTGAAGGCCTGTCAGGTCTCCCGAGGACTCCAAGATTCTTTTCTGGTTGCCTGAATCGGCAGTGAACCTGCATGCCCTGCCCTGGGTTGCCGGCCTCCATTTATTCACGGTGGTTGTGGACACATAATGAGGGGCAGCCTTGGGCATGTAGAGTCAGGGGCTCTAGGAGGGCCTCTGGGGGAGCCAGGGGGAGCTAGGCCTCTAATCCTGGGATGGGGTGTTCCTCGTCCTGTCGCAGCTCTGGTATCAACCTTGTAAGAGCCTGCTTTTGAAGTAAAAGTCTCATCTTGCCTTCTTTCAGGAGTACCTGGACCTCAGTCAGCCTCTCGAACAATATTCACCCAGTTACCCCGACACAAGGAGCTCTTGTTCTTCAGGAGATGATTCTGTTTTCTCTCCGGACCCCATGCCTTACGAACCATGCCTTCCTCAGTACCCACAGATCAACGGCAGCGTCAAAACCTGAATGGGCTTGGCCTCCTGTCCCCACACAGGACAGCACCAGGAAGCTAGCGACACTGAGCAGGGAGGTCAGGCCCCAGGGAGCTTGCCGCCTCCCTTGTATATAGGAATCAGAGGAGTAAATAATGGGAAAGTAATCGGCACACGTGTAGAGAATTTATACGGTTGGACACTCGTCATGGTCACCGGGGGAAGAATGTTTCCGGGGCAGTGGACTGCCGAGGGCCACTCTGTGCCCGTGACCACCGTGGGTGCTGGCTACGGACCAGCCGGACTCGAGGCGAACCTGTGTTCTGCCTTCCTTGTGAATTTTGTAATAATTGGAGAAAATATATGTCAGCACACACTTACAGAGCACAATTGCAGTATATAGGTGCTGGATGTATGTAAATATATTCAAATTATGTATAAATATATATTATATATTTACAAGGAATTATTTTTTGTATTGATTTTAAATGGATGTCCCAATGCACCTAGAAAATTGGTCTCTTTTTTTAATAGTTATTTGCTAAATGCTGTTCTTACACAGAATTTCTTAATTTTCACCGAGCAGAGGTGGAAAAATACTTTGCTTTCAGGGAAGATGGTATAACATTAATTTATTAATGAATTGGTAATATACAAAACAATTAATCATTTATAGTTTTTTTTTGTAATTTAAGTGGCATTTCTATGCAGGCAATGCATCGAACTAGTTAACCTATTCTTGAACTTAACTAGTCATCAGATCCTTTGAAAAGAGAAATATTTACAGAATATGACTAATTGGGGGGGAATAAAGTTTGATTTATTTGTGCTTAAACTCTGCTGAAACCACGTAAATGTCCACATTAGGAATCACCGGTAGGAGAAGGTGATTTGGTAGCTCTGACTGGGCCCTGCTAGCATTTGACTGGACTTCCCAAGACAAATGGTACCAGCGTTCTCGCAAAAAGATGCCTTAATTCATTCCTGGAGGATGGACCTTAGTTAGAGGATGGCGGAATGTCCTTCTCTCTGCAGCTGGCCTCTGCCCGAGTTGCCCATGAGTCAGATCAGCCTGTATTTTCTTCGGTGAGTTTCGCTAACGGTTTCCATGTTCCTTGATGTGGGAGAAGCCTCATAGGATCTTCCGTCTCATCCTAGAAAAGAGAAACTGTTCTGCTGGGAGTTTGGGAGATTTCCATCTTGCGAAGGGATTGCTTCCATCTAATTCTGGCAGGACCTCGCCAGAAAGATCCGGCCTGACACCAGCGCCAGACAGAGCGCCACGGCACGCGAGCCGTCTTACAGTGTTTTGTGTTTTGCTTTCGAAACACTCACTTTGCTCGAGCCACGCAAGATGAATGCAGATGACACTGATTTTACATGTTACAGAATTGGAGAAAGTATTTAATAAAACCTGTTAATTTTTATACTGACAATAAAAATGTTTCTACAGATATTAATGTTAACAAGACAAAATAAATGTCACGCAGCTTATTTTTTTAATACTCGTGTCTTACCCGATGGTTTCCTGTGCTCAGAGGTGTGGACTCAGTGCCGTGTGGTGTGATTGCAGAGAAGGCAGATCTCGGGAGCTTTGGTGTGTGTGCCAAGTGGGTCACTTGTTGGAGGGGTGGGGTGGGAGGATGCGTGGACCAGCAGTACCTGGGACAGGGGTGTCCAATGGAAAGTCTGAAGAGGTTAGCTTGAACCCTAGTGGGTTGCTTCCTGGGCTTCAGGGCATCCCAGAGGAGCAGACCAGCAATGCCGCAGGAGAGAGCTTTGTAGAGGGGGTGGCTTGGCAAGCCTGGCCTCCTGGTCTTGCCATGAGGGTTAGCTGCAGGTACTCGGCACACTCAATGAACATTCCTTTTCGTCTTACTGAGAATTGTTTTGTCCATTTGTGATTTCAGTGACCTCACAAGGCTGTTCATCCATTACCACCCTCTGATTCCTAAACATGTTCATTACTCCAAAAAGAAGCTCTGTACCCACAAATAGTCCCTCCCACCTTCCTCTCCATCCAGCTGTGGCATCCACCAGGCTGCTGTCTGTGGACTCACCCGTTCTAGTCATTGCACATGAGTCGTGATAGTATTGATGGCTTTTGTCTGGCTGCTTTCACTGGACATCACACCTTTGGGATTCATCTATGTTCAGCGTGTCGGTCGGTACTTCATTCTTCCTACTGCCAAGCCAGTCTCTTGCGCCACGTTTTGCTTATTCCTTATCTGTTGATGGACATTCGGGTTGATTCCACTTTCTGCTTATTTGGAGCAGTGCTAGTAGGAACTTCTGTGTGCAGGTTTTGGAGTGGGCAGGCTTGCTTCCGGATGCATGCCTACAGGTGGGTCATAGGGTGACTATTTTGACTTGTTGAGGAGTTGCTTGACGGCCGTCATTCTGTTTGCACTTTCTCACTGGCATTGTATGAGGGCTCTGGTTTCTTCGTATCCCTAACACTGGGTATTGCTCATGTATAAATATCTCAGTATCGTTACAGCCATTCTATTGGGTATGAATTGTTTTCACAAGAGTCCTGGCTTTTCTAGAATAATACACTTCACTTATTTGGCTTGGCTTTTGCCCTTGCAAAATCGCCATCATAGCTAAGAGGCCTCAGTGGAGACTCACAGAATAGAGGGGCTGAGAAACTGATCAACTTCATGTCTCCCCTTTTGGCTGGGGAAGCCAGGAGGCACAGCCACGTGATGGGAAGAGACAGACTCTCCTGGCTGTGATCCTTGAGCCCCACTCTCCCAGACTCCTGGTTTTATATCAAAGTCTGGTGAGCTTGAGCAGTCCTCGGGGCTGATTAATGCACCATTATTTATGTATGCACATCGGAGTCTTCCTTATCCAGCCTGCGTTTTGATGTTATTTATTTTTTGATGTTGTTAAAGATGAAAGCAAAGTTTATCTTCTCTCACATTTCGTCCCCAGGAAGCCTTGAAGTGACTTGGCTGGGCAGGGGCTACAGGAGCCTTCCACGTCTCCAGTGACATTCTGGAATGGGGCCCTTCTTGTGTTCTTTTTTCCTCGGGGTTTCCGGGGGTTTTGATGGGCTCCTCAAAATTGCCTCCAGGTCACCTGAGGTGCTGTGGCAGACAGTGCCTCTGGGGACAGGCAGCGTCAGTTCTTGGGGAACCCAGCCAGCTTTGCTGTCCTCTGGGGACCTTGGGAATAAAAGTTGGGGTGTTTCTTCTAGCTTGCAAAGCTGAGTCCTCGGGGGTTTAGTTTGGTGGCAGTATTAGGCTTAACATTCCAGGTAATTGATTTTCCTTCCTCTAGTTCAGAACACCACTTCTTTGCTAGTTGTGTCTTTAGTTTCTTTCTCCTCTTCTGATTCCTTATTTGGGGAAGTGGGGTGCTTAGCCAGGTGTTCCTGACAAGTCAAAATCCTCAGCATGATGTACTTAGGAAGGAGCAGAGAACCTTTATGAATTTATCAATGAAGAATAGAGGAGAAAATATTTTCTTAGTCTGTAAATATGGACAAATGATCCCTTTTTTAAGTGTTATGAGATTTCACCTGTGACTTACCGAACACAGTGCCTGCTACATAGTGCTCAAATATTAGCTGCTGTTTATCTATCAGTTTATCTGTACCTTTCTGTCTGTAATCTCTCTATCATCTGTTTATATCTGTCTGTCTGTCTTTATTGATCCATTTATATCACATAGATGTGGACATTGACATGGGTGTAGATACAGAAATATAGAAAGAAAGTGTGTGTGTGTGTGTGTAATGGTCACATTACAGCAGAAACTTAGTCGTGAAACTATTAGTAGAACTGCTAGTAGGTTGTGAATTTCCCTAGGGCCGTGGCGCGCCCCCCCCCCTTTTAAAATTATAACCTTTAAAGTTTTAAATCAGTGAAAGTAATGAAATTGTGTCCACAATATTCAACCTTTATGCTCCCTTTGAAAACAAGCATTTGCTCCCAGAACTCTGCCAGGCAGTGGTCTGCATGAGCTTTGGGGGAGAATTCAAGGCACAGATAGAGCGGGTGAATTCTTAAGTCCCATGTTCCCAGAGGCAGATGCGGACAGAAGCCAAAGCTCGGGAGGTATTTTTCAGGAAGATTCCTCCTGATTTTGCATGTGATGTTGTCACAAGCGGATTAAAGTGGGTGCTGTGACAAAAGGAAATACCAGCTGGGAAAAAATAAAGGCCGCCCGATGCAGCGCGTCCCAGGGCTGCCATTGTGCATTGTCCAGGGCCCGTCCTGCCAAATGGTTGGGAATTGTGAAATCGGTATAAGTTACAGGACCGGACTGGGACCAGCTCCCCGTTCCTGGGGGAAGTTCAGCAGGGGTTCTGGCCCACTGCTGGTACCTCATTGGTGCCAGCTCTGACTGCAGAGGGTCACGTGGAGACAATGGCTGCAGAGTTTACGCAGATGGGGAGAAGCCCTTAAAACGGCTTGGTGATTTGACTTGCTGCTGCTTCTGGAAAAAGGCTGAGTGTGCCTTTGCGGCACTAACACAGCAGGGCTGGAAATTGGACACTTTCTGGCATCACCTTTACTCCCCGTGGGTCTTGGTGCCGGCCATCACCCTATAGTAGTCAGAGCTGAGGATGAAAAAGACAAAATCAAAGCTTTAGGCCAAGGCTGGGGCTGGGGGTGTGGTTACGGTGAGCTTGTCCTGGTTTTGTGCAGATGATGGTGCGAACTATGATTCACTGTCTATCTAACCTACCCCCCTCCTTTCACGCTGCCTGAGAGCTCAGAAAGGTGTTCTATATTTTTAAATGGTTGACATTTTTTAAAGGTATATGTATGTATGACGTGAAAATGACACAAAATTCACATTTCAGGGGTCACAACCACACCACACTTATTCCTCTACTATGCTAGATGGTGGTTTTAGGGGCACAATGGCGTCTGGCCCCCAAGGCTGAAAATATTTCCTGTCACCCTTTACAAAGATATTTGCCCACATTGGGTTCGGATAGCAATATGCCAGGTGGATGCCAGGTCCATACAGGTGGTTTGTGGGTTAAGGCAGTAGCAGGTAACAAGATGCTGAAATTAGGTGATACTTTCAAGAACGGGGCCCACTTAAAAGAGGAGCCTAGGGGTGGGGATAAATGTTACAAAAAAACATCATCTAGCCAAGGGAGAAGTTCTAAAATCCTCTGGAGACAGTAAGCGGCCATCTCTATGTGTCTCGACGTGCCCCCTGGCATGTCTCTGCCCTGGAGCCTGAGGAGCTGGTGCCCAGCACTCTCCCAAACAAGGTTGCCACAGAGACCTGCAAACCAAAGGCTAAGTAAATAATGTGGCTCTTCCAAAGGAGGGAGGTGAGAGGTTGACATTGGGATTTGAATGATGCTTGTTTGGCAGGAAGTAAATCTGATCTCTTCCAGCTAAGGAGCACCTTTGTACCGAAACACTCTGTGTTCCTGGCAGGCCTGGGACACGGAGTCCAGAGGGCAGGATGGCCCTCTTCACAATCTTCTGGCCGGGTTTTATTTTCCACTCTCCCGGTGTTCTTGCACGCTTTAAGATTTTCATGGAAGAGAGGATAGGCACACATCCTTGTCCGAAGTCTTCTCCGAGCACAGAGGCCATTCCAGGACGGCGTCGTGACTGAGCCACGTTTGTTCCCTGCACACGTGGCTAGTGCCACTTGTATTTGGTTCCCCATTCCCGGAGCTAAAAGCACCTCTCAAGGTCAAATTGCTTGAAGTGACAGAGCTGCTTGCTCCATAAATCAGCATTTGGCGTCCCCACCTGAGCGGGTCCGGGGGGAAATCTGCACACGCCATCCGTGGTGCGGGGAATGGACACCGGCCGTAGA